TTAAAATTTAAAGGATCAAAGTCAAAATAAAATAAAAATAAAAATATTTTGAAAAATTAAAAATCATACTACTTCCGATCCTTAATATAAGATCATATTTGATTTTTATTTTGATTATAAATATAATATCCCAATCCACTTTATCTCTCATATTTATATATTTTTTTCCAAAGTAACCCTTTTAACAATGATAGTTCGAGTCAATACACTTGATTAGTAAGGATATTTTAGAAAAGATAATACCTATTTAGGACAAACAACTAACTCAGCTTATTTTCTTAATCTCCTTAAATTAGTCAATTGGTTCTTTTAATCAGGACCGAAAGTAGGATTAACCACAAAAAAATTAAGAGAGAGACCTCCTGACTGACTGACTCACACATTGCCACGGAGACACTTTCTTTCTGCATTCTTGTTTTTTCCCTTCCTTGCATTTGCATTTTTGCCTCACACAAGTTTATCGGGTCATTACGGATTTTTGTTTTTTATTATTTCACATCAAGTCAATGCCTCGACCAACCTAAAACCATCAGAATATTAATCTTGTAATTAACTATTTCTCTCTATAATTTAGATTATCTTTTAAAAAGTTATTTTACAAAATTCAAGATAAAGAGATATGTGGGAAAAAAATTATTTTCACTTGCATGAAGGTATTTTAAGTGCTCTTAAAAACAATCAAGCATAGTGATGCTTACGGCTTGCTTACGTCACAAGACATACTGATTCCCTCCAATCTTGTTTATAACACACTTAAAAAGGATTTTGTGTGGTTAATTTTATTATAAGGTACCATATTGTTTATTTTATCATAATTTTTTTCTTTTACCGTTTATCTAATCGTGGTGCAGGAAAGTAGCAAACTTTTTTAATGATATATTTAATCTGGACAAATTTTTTCTTAATTTTTAGAAAAAGAATTGACGAGCATTAAGATTTGTATAGATTTTTCAAAAATGCCACAGGTTATTTATAATAGAATCCGAACGAATCCATTTAAAAATCCGAACGGACAAGTATAAGGTAACACAAATTCGCTGGCACAAAAAAAAAAACACAAATTCAGAAAATAATATAATATATAGAATCCAAATCCAGAATTGGCAAATAAAATAAAGAAAAAATTATCCACAGATGTTTATTTGACGAATTAATTGGTCAGTGATCTCTAAATTCATCGCTATATGTTTTATATTAGAGGTAATACTGAATTACTGACATTTCGAAAGACCTCGTCCACTTTTTTTGATTTCAGGAATCATTGAGCAATTAGCTTTTAAACAGATATCCTCAGTCCAATTGCATGCTGGGAGATAAATCAAACAAAGAAAATTAAGACGGGGGGAAAAACAAAACAGAAGCGTGTTCTCAATTGGCTCCCAAGTTTCGGCCCAAAAAAAAAAAAACAATTGGCTCCCAAGTTACGTGTCAGATGAGGATGTGCTTATAAAATACTTCTCCGGTCCTAAATATAAGACCCTTATATAGTGTATATATATAAGTGTATATAAAGATATAGGATCGAAAGATTTTAGAGATACTCCGTCTCTGTGGGAGGCATCCTTTGCGATCCACGAAGAATGTTTTCATCCACCAGAATACTGAAAGAATCGTCATCGTCTTCTAGAAAGTATTTAAATTTCTAACGTTCTGAATTCCTAAAATTTAATGTTGTTTGAGTTTTGATTCTTTTAGAATGTACCTCATTTTGATCTTGTTTCTTAGAATTTAATCTTGTTTTAATTTTATCCAGGTTTCATGGCCACAATACTATTTTTGGGATAAATTTTTTAGAGGAATCAAAATAAAGTTAAATTTTAGGAATCAGAGCCATTGATTTTTAATTTCAAGGACTAAAATCCAAATAATGTCAACTTTCGGAGATCTAAATTAAACTACAATGAGATGAAATTTCATGAATTGAAGATGATATATTAGCCCCTTTCTTTCTTTTTTTTCTTTTTTTTTTGTCTAGCCCACGATATTTACTAACGATACAGTGATTAATCCTTTATACTATAAAAATCCTTTTATACTACAATTTTTTGAGAGGATCTTAGTATTAGCCATGGGACCCCCTCTATAGATATTGCTAGAGACTGAACCCCTAAGTAAATGCTTAAAAAGCCCAACTGAATATCAATTATGGCAAGTGTCATGGTTATATTAACTCCTTTTCTTGTCATTAATTTCGTAATCTTTGATGCAGCACTGTAGTCATTAATTTCGTATTGCCTCTCTTTTTGGGTCATGAAGTAAAGTAGGCCTTGATATTGAGTTAAGGAAATCAATCAAAAGAACTCAGTAGGCAGAAGATGCTTCTAATATGTGTCACACCCAAGAAAAAAGACTACACTACCTCCGCTCCTTGATATAAGATTCTGTTTGACTTTTATATTGGTCTTAAATATAAGACTCCAATTTATTTTGTCTCTCATATTTACTCAATTTTTTTCAAGATAGTCTTTCTAATAATTATAATTTTAACCAACATACTTGACTAGTAAGGATATTTTAGAAAAGATAACACATATTTATCATAAATAACTAACTTAACTTCTTTTCTTAATTTTTTCAAATTAGTCAACAGGCTTTTATAATTAGAACCAGAGATAGTATCTTTTTTCTTTGCCCACCACAATAAAAAAAAAACCATTTTCAAGAAAAAAGATATTTCATGTCTTAACTAATTAAAATCTTTGTTTACTTCTAAAAAAAAATAACATTTTCCTGGCAGTTATTCTCTTCGGTTTAATATGTCTACATGCTAGGTTGAGTTTACTAAACATAATTTAGTTGTCATTTTGACTAATGTAAAAGAAAATTTTATCAATTGAAAAATTAGAGTGAAATCATATTTTGAATTTGGAAGGCCCTAAATCAAGAAAAAAATAACTAAATAAAAAAAGAAGAAGCGTATAGATAAAACTGTACCTGTTGAAAGTGATTTAAAACAAAACATAAATTCTTGATTTATGACTAGCACTTTCATATTTACCACGTCCTCAGTCTAGTTTGGAGTAAAAAAGCACAAACATCAGCAGTACATCACAACGAAATGCGATATTTAATAACGGGTTGAGTGCATTGGCCAGTAGGCACGCGGTAGGAGGCATCAATTATGGTCCATGAATTAATTTTCCATCCAAAAAATATTCTACGAATCACAATTAATGATCGTCTTCTTCAATGTACCTTCCTCCATTTTCTTCACGTGAAATAAATTAGGCTTACTTTTTCGATGCAACACTTGTAACCCCTTTTTTGGGCCAATAGTTTATGCCCATTTAAACCATATGCTGCTTCGTCTCTTATTATAAAATCTTTTAAAATAAATTATGTAATTTAAAAAAAACAGTTAAAATTAGTTTAAAAGCAATTAATACATAATAAATATAATTTTTTTCAAATATATTCTTATATATAAATGGGCAGATGTGAGAAAGTAACAGTAATATAAATAAAAAAGAGAATATATTAAATACATTAAATTAAGGGTAAAATAGGTAATAATATATTAAATGTTCAGACAAACTCAAAAGAGATCTTATAAAAAGAGGCAAACCTATTCAAAAATTAGATCCTGGGATAGAGATGGAGGGAGTATGTTTTTAAGGGCTAATTAAATTCCGAAAATGATAAATAGAGGTTCGTGTTAACTAGTGTGATTCTCGTTATAATGTAAAACTAATCTTATATTTGTTTGTGTGAGGGAAATGAAAGGGAGGAAAAATTTTAATGAGTTTGCTTTAAAAAAAACTTGCAGAAGTGTAGTTATAAAAAATTAATGAATAAAATATATTAAAAAAGAAAAAAATTAATTAAAAGATTTCAACCCAATATTTTTAACTTTTTAAATTCAACTCATGAAAGTTGTCCTTCACAGTTCATAGTATTAAGTCAAAAGAAACACCAAAATGATAAGATCTGGTTTACTTATTATAAAATAGATTTTATATTAAAGACTGAAGATAATATATTATATATGTTTAAATGAAATTTGAAACTGATAGTCAAGAACCACCACAAGCAAACTGTGCCACGTGATGGATCTCCCTCAGCATCCTAGTATTAATTACTCTTGTTTAATTATATACATTAAAACTCTACGTAGGTGAAAATACTACAATTATTTTAATATAGGGATATTTTTTTAGAATATATTATAAATTTGAAAAACAAAATTAATTGAGATCTTATATTTAAGATTACCGATTAGCTCATATATTTAGAATTGGAGATAATGTGTGTATATATTATATAGATAGATAAGGGCCATCTTTGGGAATGAGTCATATATATTTTACTCCTCCCGTGTTTAATACAATATCTAATTAATTAATTTGAGTAGACTAATATATTAGTTAAATTAGTTAATATGATATATTTTTTTAACATGTTAAGCATTTTTCTTAATTCTCTTTTGTCTCTTTTCTACTTGATTATTATCGAAAGAATATTAATAAGATTAATTTAGAAAAAAAATTGATAAACATATAAAATAAATCTTACATATAAAACCAATAATAGCTCTCTAATTTAGATCTTACACTGAAGGAGTATTTAAGTTTACAGAGTCTTATATATCAGGAAAGATCTAATAAATAGGACCGTACCCAAGGTTTTTTTTGACATGGTTTGCTTGTCGCCCGAGGGCATTATAAAAAAGGTGAGGGGAGAATGGGAGATTAAGAAAACAGAAGGAAGAAAACAATGGAGAAACGAAATGAAAGGACGAAGGCACCTACTGTTTTAAACATTGGCATGAAAAAGTAGACCCTTCACGGTGGGGAAGAGGCAACGTATGAAGAGTGGTAGGTGCCTCTAACGAGCGAACACCATAGCTCCACGATGCCTTCCTCTGTTATATGTTGAGGTAGTTGGCTTGGCTTGATTTATGAAACCTCCTCTTTCATCAACCAATATTCAGACTCCCCCACCTTCATGTCCTTTTCCATCATAAAGCCCACCCCATTTATGTACATACTTGCAAATGCCTCTATAAATACTCTGTTGTCATCACTTTTTCTTTCCCACAATAACCAAACGCTATTAATTATCCCTAGCATGGAGGTCGAGAGGGTGCAAGCTATTGCCACCTTATCCATGAACACCGGCTCGATTCCGGCAGAGTTTATTCGGCCGGAGAAAGAGCAGCCGGCCATGACCACGTTTCATGGTCCTGTGCCTGACATACCCACCATTGATCTCAGCCATCCTGACCAGGACCATCTGGTGGAGTTGATCTCTAGGGCAAGCCAGGAGTGGGGTCTGTTCCAGGTGGTGAAACCATGGTATCCCCAGTGACTTGCTGCAAAAGTTGCGCAGTGTTGGCAGAGACTTCTTTGAACTCCCCCAGCAGGAGAAGGAGAAGTACGCCAAGCCACCTCAAGGCTTCGAAGGCTATGGAACCATGCTTCAGAAAGATGCCCACGGAAAGAAAGCCTGGGTCGATCATCTTTTTCACCTTATATGGCCTCCCTCCAAAATCAACTACCAGTTTTGGCCCAAGAACCCTCCATCTTACAGGTATATACATGCATGCATACATACACATATTTTCTTGTTATTGATCTCCAGCACAATATACACACACTTAACATGTGCAGGGAGGTGAACGAAGAGTATGCAAAACATGTGAGAGAAGTGGGAGACAGGCTTTTCAAGTACCTGTCATTGGGGTTGGGGTTGGAAGAGAATGCGATGAAGGAGGGGGTGGGGGGAGAAGAGCTGGAGTACATGATGAAGATAAACTATTATCCGCCGTGTCCTCGGCCGGATCTGGCTTTGGGTGTCACTCCTCACACCGACTTTTCCACGCTCACCATTCTCGTCCCCAACGAAGTTCCAGGCCTTCAGGTCCTCAAAGATGAACGTTGGATCGACGCCAAGTATATCCCCGACGCCTTGATTGTTCACATTGGCGACCAGATTCAGGTTTGCTTTTCCCCCCCTTCATTTTTCACGCCCATGCCACGGCAGATCTGAACAAAGTATGCGTATATGATAACTCGTGGTCGTGGACCTCTTAATTATTTGTTTATCTAATTAATTACCATGATGTCGTCGGCACGGACTTTTCTTAATTAACTCCCATTATGCGCGATTAAATTCTGTCCATGAGCTCTATTATTAAATGCTGAAAAGTCTGAATATATACGAACATTATTGAAGTGGGATATATAGATATACATAAATAGTATAAATATAAGACCCAGTATTTACCTAGCTATCATTTTCAGAGTGGGAAAAGAAATAAGTTAATAATGATAGTTTTCCCGAAACACCCCCCATTTATTAAGTCACACACCTACTTCATTCACGCATTTAATTAATTAAATTTTCAAATGATGCATTAAATAGAATTATTTTGGGAACAAAACATTTAAAAATGGATAAGAGGCTATATATTAAGGACTTAAAATTTGACACGAAGGTGAAGATTTTTGAATGTATTAGCCTAGCTATTAGGTCTCATATTTTTTCCTGTACCCTTTGTCCTTATTTAGATTATTTCCTGTGAACCTCTCTTATGTGAATATAATTGTCTTTTCATATATCTATATATAGAAAAAAGGAATAATTTATTTATTTTTTTTTGGGGGCATCGTCTCATACTGTAATTAATTACTCTTACATGATGTGATGGCCTTATGAAACAGAAGCGTGAAGTGCGGAATAATATTAATGGGCATAGAGGGAGGGAGGCTATATATTGAAAGTTGTGGATATATATTGTTTTTAAAGAGGAAAAAAAAAAGGTGAATAAGTGGAATGTGATTTTGTGAACAGATAGCGAGCAATGGCAAGTACAGGAGCGTGCTGCACAGAACGAAAGTGGACAAGGACAGAACCAGGATGTCTTGGCCAGTGTTCTTGGAGCCGCCCGGCGACTTTGTTGTCGGACCTCTGCCCCAGCTCCTCTCTCATGATCACCCTCCCATCTGCAAGCCTCGTTCCTTCAAGGACCATCGCTTCTCTAAACTCAACAAGATTCCCCTCCACAATTAGATCCTCTTCTTCTTCCTTCCTTCCTTCCTTTTCTTTCCATTTTCCCACCCTCGCTCTTTTTCATGCATGTGTCTGACACAAAAGAAGCATACTTTCATGTCATGTACTGAGCTTAATCTGCATAATTATATATTATCTCACTTGGAAAAGGCTCTCAGATGAGACCCAGGAGACAAACTTGACTCATTTCTTTTCATAATTTCTCTCAACTGCTGGTTCTTTTTGGCTTGTCCGCTTGTGTGTTTCTGAGTGTATGTATTGTGATTTGCTATGTACTTCCATTTGTTCATTGGTGATTATAATTTGATCTGTGTTATAAACTTGCGCGGATCAGATTTTAGTAACTGCATGTATGGGTTGTTACCAAGTTTGTGCACTTTCCTCCCTTGTTGGGTTTACTTCCTCTGCGCCAAGCCTTTCAATCTATGATTTGTTAATCAGATTATTCCCTCTCTTTTCCCTAATTCTGTATGTACGCCCGCTATTTGCTCTCCCACATTACATTTAAACTGTTCTTTTCTGCTATGGGAAATTAATTCTCTCATTTTTTGTTGTAAAAGTAAACATACTAGCTCTGGTGTTTAATATAAGAACTAGTTGACTAATTTGAGTATATTAAGGATATCAGTTAAGCTAGTTATTTGTGATAAATAAGTGTAGTTTTTTTAAAAATATCCTTGCTAATTAAGTATATTTACTAGAATTACCATTATTATAAGAACTATCTTAAAAATAAATAAATAAATATGAGAAATATAGTGAATTAGAATTTTATATTTAGGAGTAAAATAAAAATTAAACAAACTCTTATATTAAAGACGGGAGGTAGTAGAAGTAAAAATCATACTCCCTCTAGCTTTAAATATAAGACTTATTTTATAATGTAAATTATATTACAAAATAAATATTATATCTAGTATCAGAAGAGTATTTTATAATAAACGAATCATATCATATATCTTCTTTTTTTTGCCAACAAATCGTGTCGTATATCTTATAATATTACCTTCAGTCCTAATTATAAGAGTTAGTTGATTAATTAGAGAAGATTAAGGAAATAAGTTAGATTAGTTATTTGTAATAAATAAGTGTTGTCTTTCCTAAATTATCCTTACTAATCAAGTTTATTAGCTAAAATTATCATTGTTAGAAGAACTACTTTAGGAAAAAATATATAAATATAAGAGACAAAGTGAATAAGAGTCTTATATTTAACATCAAAATAAAAATAAATAAGATCTTATATTAAAAAGTGGATGTAGTGTGAAACAAAATTGTGTTATTTATAAATTACAATCAATACTCTGAAATTCGATGCGAAGCAGTGGCGCTTTGTTTTTTGACTTGCCAGGCATGGCGCGAACGAGGAAAGGATTCTCTTCACCTTCCTCCCCCAGTACTTTACTTCTATCCTCAGTGTCATCGGATGAAATTTTAACAGTCAAGATTTAATACTCCCTCCGTTTCTTATTATAAGAGACAAATAACCGAAGTATGTTGATAAAAAAAACAGTTAAAATTAGCTAAGAACAATTAATGTGTAAAAAGTATAATTTTTTTTCAAAAATACCCTCATTAATAAGGAGAGAGAGCATGAGAGAGAATAATTAAATTATTAAAAGAAAGAGAAGTGAGAGGGAGAAAGAGTGTGAGTTGAAGATAATAAATATGGGTAAAATAGTAAATCAACAAAAAAAAGTAGAGACAACTTGTAAGTGTCTCTTATATATAGGAACATGCCATAAGCATCAAATGTCTCTTATAATAAAGAACGGAGGGAGTATTCTATAAGATTTAGCATTATTAGCTCAATTACTTGGCATTGATATATAATCTGAGGATTGATCTCTCATGTTCCTTAAATTTAGCATGACTAATAATTTTATGAAATATTAGATTTGAGCCATCAAATTTGATCCAATGAGTGACAAGAAAAGAGAGGAGAAAATGGAAAGGGAAGAAAATCCTCTGCTGGGCATGGATTCTTGTCTTTTGATGCAAATCCATTGATGTGATTTTTGTCAACGAAACAAAACTAGTAGAATTCTTTATACTTTAACATTTTTTTTTCCATTTCTGGAAAACAATAAAAATTTAGAAATGGAGGGCGATTTTCGCGGCGAGCCAACACTGTTTGGTTTCGCCGTTGACGACCCTGCCCCGAGCATTTCTTCTTCTGCTCGACTATATGACGATGCAATGATCGTCTTCCACTTTTGCAATTGGTGTTACTCATGAGTCCGTTTCGCCACCTCTCCGAGGACCGTCACGAAACCGGTCCAACTGGCTCTTGCTCCGCTTCACTCTCATCGGAGCCACACCGTGGTCCGGCCTCAGGAACGTCGTCATTCCGATCACACTCAACCATTGGTCATTCTTATGGCTCCGCGCAACGCGTCTCCTCCGCTCTGGTCCAACGTTCCGTGTCTGCGATAACCTCCCGCCAACACAGCCACCGGGGGGTCATGATCAATGGCATTGTCGGGAACGGAATCTCCGGCATCCTGTACAAGTGGGTCAATTACGGTCGCGGGTGGCGCGCGCGGTGGTTCGTACTCCAGGATGGCGTTCTTTCGTATTTCAAAATTCACGGTCCCAATAAGCTCGTGCTCAATAGCGAAGTCGAAAGGGGATCAATGGTCATCGGGGAAGAGTCTCTGCGTCGAATTGCTAGTCACCGCAATAATCCCTCTCGCCAACGCAAACCCGTCTGCGAAATCCATCTCATGGTCTTTCTCGATTCAACTTCGCCCAATTATTGATACGATTATTCTTTTCGAACAATTGGATACGTACGATACGGAACAAGTAATTTTTGAATGTTACGCATAAATTGATGTAGGTGTGTTCAATAAGAGAGAGCAAATCCGATGAGAGGAGGTTTTCTGTGAAAACGGGGACGAAGAAGAGGCTACATCTGAGGGCGGAGAGCAGGGAGGACAGGGACGCATGGGTGGAGGCATTGAAGGCCGTGAAGGGTTTGTATCCACGCTCGCCGAAGAATGTAGAGATAATGGCTCCGCACGAGACGATGTTAATGTCCACCCAGAAGTTAAGGCAACGCCTCCTGGAGGAGGGTGTGAGTGAGATTGCCATTCAGGAGAGTGAAAATATTATGAGAAGCGAGCTCGCACAGATGCAAAAGCACATTATGGCCCTCAAGCAAAAGCAGAAGCTCCTTTTGGACTCGTTGCGCCATTTAGAGGCAAGTCTTCTAATCTAGATTTAATAAAATGTTCTTCTTCTTTTACCAATCTAAATAACTCAAAAACTGAGAAAGAGAGAACATTCGTATCTAAGTTAAAGGCCTTTAACTCGTGGTTTTTTCTTTTATTTCTTTGTACATCAAGGTAAATGAATAGCTTAATTATTCTTTTTTATGATTGGTGAGCGGATTGCATTTTTTAGACAGAAAAGGTTGACTTGGAAAACACACTCATTAACGAAACCCAAAGGCAGTCAAAGGTCGATGTTGGAGATTCTCTCACATTAAAGCGTGAAAAGTTTAGCGGTACGTTTTGCTCTTCCTAACTAATGTTGCTTCACTTGTGGCAGTACAGCAAACACACCCTACATAGGTTTCTGATGGGTGGCATCGCTACCACCTGCTTGAATTAATTAGTACTATATATCTGGGTTTCCCATCTGTGAAGGCCAGGGGTGGCTTACTCCTACAGTACTAATGAGTCCTTTGGGCTGATCCTGAAAAGATTTCAAGAAATAAGAGGCCCGGTTCAGTTTCATGACCCCATGGATGATCAAGCTTCTACCCCTATATAATATCACAGAGACGTAGAGTTTTTTCTTTCTTCCCCCTCTTTTTTATTACAAGGGAAGCACAACACACACTCTTTCTCGTTAAAGATAGCTCCAGGAACAAACTTTTGAATGATGTTAATAGCATGACATCTTTTCCAATGTCAATACCAGCTATGGCGACTTGTAGCAGCTTCCATGTAACTTTATCAATTAGAACAGCTATAACTACATTCTTTTCACAATTCTTTTTGCAAAAGGAAAATAGACCACTCCTGCGCCTGAAGAAACGGACTAAACAGAGGAAGAGTTGGAAAAGGAGAATATAATATGTTCGATACATTCTTTGTTACCCATCCCTCTAATCATTTCACTCTTGTGATATTATACACAGATGGAAGCCCGAGTGGTTCTTCTGACGATCAAGACCGGCACGATCAGTCTGACGATGACAATGATGCATTCTTTGATACAAGTGATATTCTTTCGTTAACTTCTTCCAGAGAAAAAGATTCTGATTCTGATTGTGAGGAGACTTCTACTGACGAACGTGATGCAAATTCGCTCACTGGATTTGCGAGATCCAATTATCCCCAGGTGATGCGACGAAAGAAATTGCCCGATCCCGTTGAGAAAGAGAAGGCAGCCAGCCTCTGGTCAATAATTAAAGATAATATTGGGAAGGATCTCACTAGCGTTTGCCTCCCAGTCTACTTCAATGAGCCTCTGTCCTCATTACAGAAATGCTGTGAAGACCTCGAGTATTCTTACCTTCTAGACCGAGCATTTGAATGGGGTCAAAAGGTTAGTTTCCATTCTCGAATTAGAGTTAGTTATATGGGATTGTTCACAAAGGCAATTGTTAAAGCCCAAAGTTCCAAATGTTAGTGCAATATTTTTGACTGCGACATCAATCCATTGTATTGATACACAGGGTAACAGTCTTATGAGGGTGCTAGATGTGGCTGCATTTGCAGTTTCAGGGTATTCTAGCACTCTTGGGAGGAGTTGCAAACCATTTAATCCACTGTTGGGTGAGACGTATGAGGCAGATTTCCCAGATAAAGGCTTTCGCTTTATCTCTGAGAAGGTATAGTACGTAGTGCAGAAACTTGGCATTTACTCCTCAAAAAGAAAAATATCAACGAAAATGAAAAGATTGAACCAATTTTCTCTTTGAATATGATACCATTGAGATAGGTCAGTCACCATCCCATGGTTGTCGCATGCCATTGTGAGGGAACTGGCTGGAAATTTTGGGGTGACGGCAATCTAAAAAGTAAATTCCGGGGTCGTTCAATTCAGCTTGATCCTGTCGGTTTACTGACCATCGAGTTTGATGACGGGGAAGTCTTTCGGTGGAGCAAGGTATTGTCATAATAGGATTTACTTGTGCATCTCTTTTTATGAACATCTACTGACTACTCGAACCTAATTTTCGTACGATTTAAATAATTGTCTAGCAATAGTTGCATTAATTACCTATATCTTCTAAGATCTGGCTTCTGATTGTCTAATATTCTATCATCAGGTAACAACATCCATTTACAATCTGATTTTAGGAAAACTGTACTGTGATCATTATGGGACAATGCGCATAGAAGGGAATCGTGAGTATTCTTGCAAGCTTAAATTTAAGGAGCAGTCAATAATGGATCGAAACCCTCACCAGGTACCCCTTCTAATACTCCTAGTTTCTATTTTCTTGCTTTTGGATGTGGGGAATCAAGGAAATTTAAATTGTGTTGGATTTTCTTAGAAATGTGTTACCTGGGCCTTTCTGACTTTAACTGCGTTTAAGTTAAAACAGCTTCATGTGCTGTTATATTTCACTCTTCCTCATGCGCTTTACTTTGTAGCAGTTTGGACTTCCTTTTCTTTTCCTCATGTAGCTATCGACTTGAATAAATCCTATAAATTTGATGGAAGATATTGTTACATTTGGAATTATCTTGGCAAAGAACAATTGATCTACTGAGTACTTGATCATGCGGCGTAATATAAATTGTGGTGCAGGTGCAAGGCGTGGTGGAAGATAAGAATGGTAAAACAATAGCAACTATATACGGGAAATGGGACGAGAGCATGCACTGTATAATTAATGACAATTCTAAAAGGAAAAAATCCAGTGGGTCGTCTAAATCATGTCTGCTGTGGAAGCGGAATGAACCACCCCTGCACACTACAAGATACAATCTTACCGAATTTGCTATTGCACTAAACGAAATCACACCCGGACTCAAGGCAAGTGCTTTTCTTGAATGCTTTCGCAAACATGGGAAGCATTGTCCTCTGTGGTTGTGTCAAGAGTTTGTGACATTAAAATTGTCAAACAGGGGAAGTTGCCGCCCACAGATTCGAGGCTGAGACCCGATCAAAGGTTTTTGGAGAATGGAGAGTATGAAATGGCCAATACTGAGAAGTTGCGGCTGGAGACGAGACAGCGACAGGTATGATATGGGCATATGAAATTCACTTCTTTTTTTTTTTTCGGGGTGTTTTTATGCAGTTTTTAATGCAAGAGTGAGTTAAATTAACAGGCAAGAAGGATGCAAGAAAAGGGTTGGAAACCAAGGTGGTTTGTAAAGGACAAAGACGGCATCTACCGTTATGCTGGCGGGTACTGGGAGGCCAGGGACAAGGGCATCTGGGAATCTTGCCCTGACGTATTTGGCCAAATTCCAAATGATACTGATCTTGATCCAACTTCACCTTCCTAATTTCTCAGCTCTTTCGCCCTTGTATGTAATTTAGAGGCCACGCTAAACTAACAGCAACATGGTACAGATAAGAATTTTTGATGAAGCATCTTCTCAATCAAGTCTCAATTTTTTTGGCAGTTCACAGCTCCATTTAGCGTTGGGCAGTTCAGATGATATGGCACAGTCTAGTTTTATTTGTTTGGTTTTTTGTTGCATTATTATATTTATAAAAATTCATTAAATACTTGTATTATATCTATATCCATTCTGAAGATGCCTTGTCCCTTTCCTCGCTCCGGTGCGGTCGTTCGGTGACTCCCTCCTGCAGGAAACAGATCAAAAGTTTTCAATTTTAATTTCCATACCTGTCTCCTTACTTTTTGGACGCCATTACTATGGCACTGTAAATTTATTACTTTTTTTCTGCCGGCACGTAAATTTGTCCGCATTTTCATATTCCATAATGAATTTAAATTTGAAGGGGGTGATACCTAGAACATTGATTGATTCTTTCCGCTTAACTGTTTAATTTTATTTAATTTCAATATATAATGAGAAGCTCTCGGAAATCTTGGCCTAATGGGTTGGGTTTGACCTATATTATTTATAGATAAGTTGTGGTCCAACCCCTCTAGACCTCCAGGTAATACCCAAAAAAGCATCTTTGGGCTTAAAAATACCGGGCTTGGCCTATTTATTAAGAGAATCATTTTCATTTCAACAAATTAATAAAAATACTCTTTTCATAATCTAACTTTATATTAAATTTTAATCTCGCTCCTTGATAAGTATGAGGTCAATTCTTTCATCATAACAGCCAGTCTCGAATAATGATTTTTGTCCTAATCATTATTATTTTAAAAAAAAATTAATATATTAGCATATTTGTGAATATCTTATTAACAATCAAAATTTAACACTGTACAAAATTATAAGACCAAAAACGAATTCCTGTTTAGAGTCAAAGTGAAAAACAAGGCTTTTGCCTAAGAAAAAAGTGGAGAGAATAAAGGAACACGTCATGGATCATTGATGAAAAGTTGTATGGCGTTGGGAAGCTGAGGCATGTGAACATGCCTGGTTTCCACGTTGCTACTATGGTTACCATGAAAAAATGTCCCACTCTGGGGAATACCGTCCCTCTATTCTCCCTTTTTCTTTTTTTCCCCCCCTTCTAAATTTGCTTTTCCTTAAACTTCTCAAGACGTTAACATCTTCAAATTTCACAACCGCCAGTGAGACATCAGTAAGTGGCACTCAAAGTCTGAGCGTGGCCATTTGTTTATAAATCTTACATCATGGTACACGTCCCCAAACCTACTCAATTTTGAAGTGAAATCAAAGACACTTCTTTCAAACGACAACGACTGCTTCTTTATTTCTTTTGTTTTGGTTCCTCTTTCTAAGGAAAAGGCTCAATAATACTAGTGCCATAATAATAATAATAATACTACATCCGGTCCTAATTATAAGAGTTAGTTGACTAATTTGAGGGGATTAAAGAAGTAAGTTGAGTTAGTTATTTGTCTAAATAGGTGTTAGCTTTTCTAAAATATCCTTGCTAATCAAGTGCATTGACTAAAACTATCATTGTTAGAAGGGTTACTTTGGAAAAAAATGTATAAATATGAAATGCAAAGTGAATTGAAGTTTTATATTGAGGATCAAAATAAAAATCAAACAGAATTTTATATTAATAACAGGAGGAAGTAATAGAAAACAAACTGCCTCGCAATTACGGAACAGAGATGGCCTTGATTGGCCCCATCTTAAGGCTAATCTAGTCTCCTCTGGGCACGTCTTCTCTAAACAAAGTTTATTTTGTTCAATATTTCCCAAACTCATCCCCAATATATTCATGTGTGGGGCCGTCTTAAATTTCTTTGACCAATAAACTTAAAATTAACGACGCGCCATTCCGCTGGGGCTGCATTGTGTTTTAAAAAAGTCAAAGAAAGCAGCGGTATCTGTTTTTAAAAAATTGTCGATCTTTTGATTCAGTATTTAAAAATTTAAGAACAAGATGCGTATTCATGATGAATGTTAATAAAAGACTGGACACGTGTAATTAACATGACTAATTTTTATTGGTCCAAGGAGGAAACATGCGAACCTTCTCCCTCCTCTGACGAGCCCGGCTTTGATAATAATTATTTAACATTGAGTATAAAGTTGACCCATCCACCGAATGGAACAAGGAGATGGGGTGGTAGTGCCTTGAATGATATAGAAAAACAGGCAACAAAAAAGGCGCAGAATCATGGCAATGTCTTTTGTGAGCTTCACCTTTTAACTTTCCATCTCTCTCAGCATCCAAGCCTGAGAATAACAACAAATATACTATATCTCACAGACTCATACTAGCCTCGCCTGTCCCGCTTCTTTCATTACATTCCTTTACAGTGTGTCTTATTTACTCCCTCCACTCTCTTCATCCAATCCATTCCTATCGGCGCCCTCTCTTCTTCTGAGAAGCGCCGCCGTAATGGGTTGTGATGATTATTCCCATCACAGATCTCAATCCTCTCAGCTCCTCCAACCTTCTTCACCATCACCTCCACCGTCATCATCATCATCGGAGTCCAGTTTTCGGGAGCTCGAGGATGCCTTTCTCCAGGTTCATCAATTATCCGCACTTTTCTTCGATGTCTACTAATGGCTGACATTTATTTTTATTAGCTAAGATCAATATCTCATCACTACCATTTCGTTTTCCAATTCTTTTGCAGACTCAAACAAGAATTTGGCTCGGAGAAGTGTTGCAAATAAGATTAGATGAGAATCTCGTTATATCTGAAGTTCTTGCTGATGGAGAATTGCTGTATGTTGCCCACTAATAATTGTCATTTCGCCGTCTTGTGTTTGTGAGGATTAAAACCCAAGAGGAGTTTGAGCAGGAAACTGTCATATTGGCATTTGATGTGCTTCCTAACTAGTTTCATTGGTTTGTAGGTTTCAAGTTTCAAAAGTCGTGTGGAGATTGCTGCTGGCAAAGCATACGGATTTAAGGCACATAAAAGCGTTCCAGCATCTGCCTTTTGCTTCCAAGGAGAACAGTGGCAGATATAGGCCTTATTCTAATGTTGATTCATTTCTGAAGGTAAGTTCCTTTTTCTGATAAATTTTCTTACAAGAAAATATATTGTTGTTGTACGGAGAATTACATGGAAATCAGTAACACCTTACAGCGGAAAACCTGCCAGCCTGCTAATAATAATAATAATGGAAACAACTTATATATAGTTGATAGGAAAAAAAAAATCAACATAAATGTAAATAACAGTGCATTATCATTAGTCCCAAATTAGCAATTTTTCTTGTTATTTCTTGAGTCTATAGAAGGTTGATTGCACGGACAGTGGTGCTGGCATTTCTGATGTGAAGCATGTGGCCTGAGGGCTCATCTGCATTTTTAAGCATGAGCATATGGGTAGACGAGCGTCTAAGTCTTCTTTTGCTTATTTGTGTTTTAATTTCTTGATTCTTAATGCAAACAGATATCTGAGGTGTAACATTTTATAATATGTAGATATGCAAAATCTTGGGATTGACTGGCATAGACCTCTTCTCTCCGTCAGATGTTGTAGAGAAAAGAAATACTCGAAAAGTTTGTATGTGTATACGCTCATTCTCAAAAAAGGCAAGGTCGAAGAATGTAAATGTAAGGCAATTGTTCATACCTATCCATGTAATCAAATCTACTTGATCTTACAGCTTACTATCTTAATTGTCTCATTCGTGCTAAACTTAAGGAGAGTGGTGACAGGTTCCAGATTTTGACGTTGTCTCGTGCACAATAACTATGCCTAAGAATATAGTTGGATGCCTTCGTAGAAACTTAGAGTCGTCTCAGAGTAGCCTTGCAGATTCTCCTACTTATTACATGCGGAAGCAGGCAGAAGCAAAACACAGGCAGGTGTGTCCTTGCTTAATGAATAGCCATCTACATTTATCATACATATTTAGTTATTCTTAATTCTTAACCATGGTGTTTTTGTAGGGTTACTCTCTCGCTGCCTCCCCCACGGACCATGAGACATATTTGGAAGAGTATGATGCCACAGAAATAAATCATGCAGAACTTCGATCTGAGGCTGAGTTTGAACTTTTAAGTTCAGAGGAATCATTGCATCCTTGCTCGGAGAACAAAGAACATGATTGTGGTGTTGCTTGGTCATCATCTCCTCGTGACAATTCACATTTAGATACGAGAGTTAAACATGTTCAAGAAAGTGGCTTTATGGGCTTCGATTATTCTGATCAAAGCTTGTTTGGAGGAAGAGATGCTTTGGAGCAAGTGGCAACCTCAAATCTTGAAGAAGATAACACACCAAATGTACATCACAGTGCCAGTTCTCATGGTTCAAACTCAACCCCAAGGAGTATTGAATATGATAGGGGATATCTTGATATCTGTGACAATATGGAAGTTATGAGAAATTGGTCAATGGAACCAGTCAACTTGAGTAGCAAATTTGATGCGCGGGACAATTTGGAGACCCTTGGGTCTGTTGAAATTCACAATGACAGGATGGATCAGTGGAACCAAATAATCGGATATAAATCGCAGGAAGCAATGGAACATAGGAAAATGGCATATGAGATCGCTTCTAATGCTAATTATTTACTCTCTGTTGAGAAATTTGAGGGCGACAACAATTCTCTATATTCTAATAGTTTTCACGAGTCCGAGGATTTACTGTCATTTCAGTCTTATCTGTCGTCTGAGTTTTGTAAATGGGATCAGAAAGGAAAATGTGCTTTGATATCGCCCAACGATCGTAGAAGCTTTACCTCATCTCTTCCAAAGGTGGGATCCTGTGAGGAAAATACTCCTTGTGCAAGACATAAATCGTCTGAAGTCAAACCCTCTGAGCCAAACGAAGAGGAGGTTGAAGTGAAATTACTCAAATTAGACATTGATGGTGAACAGACAAACAAGGATTGTCAGGTTGTTCTATCCAATGTTGAAGGCGTGGATTACCATGAAAAGTGTCCCTCTAATGAGGAAGACGCTAATGATAATGACACAGGTGACAGAGGTGAGAGAGTATTATATGTGGTAACCGATGAGGATGTATCTCACACACGATCCTGCTTACCAAACGAATGCTCGAAGCTTGAATGCGAAGATGATGATCAAGAATATCAACACGACATGGATCCCACATGCCATTCAAAATATACCATTGAGACGCGTCTTCCGGTAAGATTTGGTCCCATTTCAGGCATGTTTCTGTAAACTCGTAGGTTATATAAAAGTTGAAAATTTCTTTTGATTTTTTTGTCTTGTAGGAAGAAATAACACCAGAAGATGAGAAGGCTTCTGATAATTTGGCTCAGAAAACAGAGGAAAGTGTAGAAAGACCAAGAGGGAAACCTCAAAACAATCTAATGTTAAAATCAGTCTTGGGTGGCACTGCTGCGGTTGGCATGTTGGTCATGTTCTTGCACTTTAGGTTTGTATTGAGCTAGCTTATTGTGGTCGTTAAGGATGATCTGACTCTTGAAGACCTTTGATTTATTTTTTGCTGAACATATTGTATTGTAGGAGGAGCGGCAGAGAAAAAGATCCAGCATCAATTAAGACATCATCCGGTGACACTGCGAAAGCTAAGGTTCAGAAATATCCATCTCAGAAGACGCAAAGGAGAAGTAGAACAGAAGGAGTTTATCCGGCCGAAAAGCTCAAGTTGGGCGGTTAGAATGGGGATCGCTTCTGAGTTTAACGTTGCCGGTTCAATTCTGAGAATTTCAGGCAGTCAGAAAAATCTGTTTTGTTTTTTTGGTCAGTCAGAAAAGTCCTGTTAAAAGTAGTTATCGTGGAGATCGAAATTTCCAACCCCACTCATCTTCAAATACTGTTCCTATCAGAAATGTTTCAAAACAAAATGTACATCCATAAAATATTTCCAACTTCTAAATGAGTTTTGCGAAAGGTTCATATAGAATTTAGATGTTTGTAAATCCACCATTTGACTTTTTTCTCACTTCATTATAATGTGAACCCGCTTTTCTTTATTATTATTTTTTTTGCCAGAGTTATTTCTTGATAGTTGATGCATTACTACAGAAAGAGCCATAATTCAATAATTTAGAAATGAAGTCAATTTTACCACCCATGGTGAAAAAGAAATCAATTTTGTCATCCACTTTATATTCGATTTTAATTAATTAAAATTACTTAATTATTCAAATAATTAAACACATTGATATGGTTGAATCATACCACCAAAAAGAACCATTCAAAGCCACATAATTAATGATGAGTGATGTAAAAAATTTTCCCCCTCATACATCAATAGGTTTTTCCATGTCTTCAGAAGAACATAAATGAAGCTTACACTGTTCTATTTTTTGGTTCAAAATAAATAAGACACAAAACAACTCAAGCGGCGCCCTGCCTTCCTAGACTTGAACAAAACTGCAAGCCATGTTCACTGAAGTCATAGAAAACTCTCCAATAGTTGAGTATGTCAGAGGGGGGAAAAAAAAAATATTAAAATGAACTAACATATTCATTAAAATTGTAAAATATTCTATTCCACGGTGAATCAGCTATCCTTCTCTCAAAATGCTCCGCTCGTGCGAAACAACGAACATAGACTTACACAAGGCATCAAACTCTTGTACATACATATTCAATGATTCTATATTATTCAGATATTACACAATCTATAATGGCCAGCATCTACATCTCTATCAAAAAAAATAAAAAATAGGTTTCGGATTTGGCAGCGTTCGAGGACGATATCAAATCCAAAGCAGCCCATGCAGCAATGCAGAAGGGGACAGGCACAGTATCTTCCCATTGCCTATTCACTATGAAAACACAATCCACTCTGCTTCAACCCATGTGGGCAATGCAATCATATTTCTAGAGCCTATTTTCCCATAAATCTACCCTGGGGCCATAAGTGTTTTGTACAGTGCTTCACCAAAACTGAACTCTCTAATGAAGCCAGGGATACAACAAGTGCAGCCATGAATTGGCCCTCAATGGTTGCAGCACGAATATGGTGTATGTACAAACTATCTGACCATGTCCACTCGGTCAATTACATCCAACGCTCTCTCCTTGTCAATACCAAAATCAATCAATGGAAGCTTAGACGAAATCCTATTAAACGTTGATTCCCTGCTTTTAACTGTTGATGAATGGCTGCAACTCCTTGTCAGCCTGCTGGTCTTCTCCCTTGCAGTATTCATGCTGTCAAAGTCCAAGCTCTTACTGTTCCTCGGATTCGTGTGTTCTTAGTTACTTCTTGCAGCAGCTTTTGTTCATCAATTGTTAGCAACGGAAGTTCAACATCCTTAGGTTGCTTATCTGTCTTTTGCAGGGTAATGGCAACAGCTGGCTTGTACGTGGACTTTGTTTCACCAAAATCGTTGCTAGCCTTACTTTTGATGGCCAGGCGATGAAGCCATAAAAGAAGTTCGATAATGTAACCTTCAACTTTGTCCTTGTCTGCATGGTGAAATGTCTCGATCCGCATCACTTCAGTTTGCGTATTCTTCCGATTTACCTCAGAGCTGCAAGAGCAAAACAATTACTTTAAAAAAAGGGGGAAACAAACAAGTTACAGATGCTATAAAGGAACTGACTTTATACTCACCCAGTGTTTGCCCACTCCCCAACCCAACCAAAACCATGATGCGCCCTGAGTCAATTTTACAGCAATCAAATGCCAAGAAGTTATAATCAGATTATACATGTATTAAATGAACTGATGCTTATGAAATCTTCTTATACAGAGGGAGAGTAATTATTTGAAGAAAAGCAAAACACCATACTTGGCTGTGTTCGTGGCAACTGGAACCAGCCAGTGCAATGTCTTCTCCATTTCATCTTTGATCTCTTTCACAGTCATCTTCGGAATACAAAGGAAAAATAATTAGTAGAGGAGACACGCTTGAGACGGAGTGAACAACTAAGAATAGGAGAAATTGATTTCACAGTAGGTTAAGCATTTCTCATTGGTTTTTAACAACACAAGGATGTATGCTCTGGTGGCAAAAGAAACTTGCAGCATATAAACAAACCTGGTTTGCAACATGAACAGATGGCAATTTGGAACGCAAAGCCAGTTTTACATTAGGAGGCAAGCTCTGATATAATGAATCCCTTGTATTTGCGGGCATAGAACTGGATCGCGCAACCTGCCATCATCGACACAAACACCGCACGGATCTATTTATTGCAGCTAAACAAATATTTCTTGGAAACTAAAGCAGCATGGCACACTACACTAAAATCAGAAAGGTTCCCTAGGATACAGATGTGATCAAATCCTAGCCTGATGTTTTGGTTGTATTGGAGTTTAAAAGATATTAAATTAAAAGAGAATTTTGTGGCTGCCGAGTGCAGTCCAATCCTTTGATGATATGGACAATTCATGCATACTTATCGAGCATTATCAAGGGAATAAAACATAGGATCATCTTCCTAGGCATATAAAACTATCAGGCATCAAAGCATCAGGTAGTTAATTGTTCACATGAATATATCTTTTGAGTCAACAAAACCATCGAATAGAAATCTAGGTTCATAGAATTTTGGATCAAGAAAACTGAGTTATCATGTCATGCTGGGGAAGTGTTTACTAGGAGAAACTGATGGGGAACAAACTAAATCCAATGTTTAAAGGCAATAAGAGATTTCAGTCACTCTTGATTAATAGAACTATCACCTGGCTCGAAGAAAAGGCACATAATAGAATAGAGACCTATAATGGAAAAAATATCTCATAGAAGATAAACTTACAAGGGTATCAATTTGGAGCACTATATTTGCATAGTGCAAAGCAAGGCCTGCAGGACCCAATCTTTGACGACTGCTGCTGTATCCAATTACTGGCTTATGAGGATCTACAGTAGTTTATGGATAAAAAGATTTACAATTAAAAAGAAAAATATTGAATTCGATAAATAGTGTTTCCAAGAGTGACTGATGCGAATAAAACCAGATAATGCTCTCCCTGCTTCCCCCTCAGTCTCTTAACATCTTCACCCCTTCTACCATTGGTTTTCTCCCCTTTTAACTTTTAAATGTTCCAAGAATAATATATTTAGCTCAATATGACTGAGATATGCACAATAGTTAAGATAACATTAACTGAATCATACATGGATTGTTATGATAACAACAGGTATTGATTATAGTTGGATTAAAAACGTTATATGAAATCAGCACAACGGGTTGAAACCAAAGGGTATATACCATCACTGCCAAAGATATTGTTCATCTCCAAATGCAAAAATTGGACAATGTCAACAAGCTTCTCCATAATCTGTAATCCATAAGAATATGAATCATACTGACTAATAGATGAGAGAAACATATTCATCTAAAGTAGCAATCTAAACTCTCAAGTTACCTCCTCCAAACTTCTGGACCAGAGTGACTTTTTCTTCAACTGTTTAACTTGCTTCTTTTGAGTTTTAAGTTCCGCCCTCAAGATTGGAAGGCTATCATCTGTATGTAGGGAGACATTATGGTCAAAAGTTACATATAAAAGATTTTCCTAAGATAATGCTCCATAAAGCCAAACATGTCAATGAGAGTGAATCTGTTCAACTGTATCTTGTATTTTAATTAAACCCTTCAGGCGCTCGATAATATTCTTAAAAAGTCCATGTAATTCTGATTTCAAAAATTGAAACAAAGTCCTCAGAATACTGGCCATTGCATGCCATAAGATTCTAGACATTACAATCTAGGACTCTGCTACTACAGTGAGGAACCAAAAGTAGATGCATTGGCAAGTAGCTACCACGATCTCTTCAACCGTCTATTATTCTTGTATACTATATAGGGATGACAAGCTATGAGAGCCAATGGCAGACTTAGTAGAAATTTTATCAAGAATTTTTTAAAAAAAAAGGGGAAATCGCTGGAGCAGATCAATCTAGTTTACATTTGTTTCAGAGCCCTTGGAGACTCAATTCTTCAACTTAAATGTCATCTTTAATTTTCATAATAGTCATAGTTTCCAAAGGAGTACTAAGAAATCCATAAATCCCCCTGGAAGACCACCAGAAGAAACATTTTAATAAACGCTCAAAACTAAAATGGCAGACCGTCACATACTTAAACAAACAAGACATGAAATAGTTCTTCATTGGTCAGGTAATATTGATGTGAAGACAGTGAAACAGTAAACAACGCAAGAAGGCATCAGCTAGCCAATTACTCAACGGCAGTATTGTCCAAGCTTCAGATATATGAAGCCAATTACTCAACGGCAGTCTTATCCAATTAATCTTCTCTTGACTTCATATTCTTTAGCAAGCCATGCTTCTTCAATAAAAGATTTCTCATCACAAACAAGAGTTGCATATCGTGTCAAAGATAGCATATATGATCACCTTTTTGAGTTGCACCAGAACTATCGTCTTCTTGACGCCTACTAAGATAGTCTTGCTGAAACCTATCCAGCGCATGTAATTCGTGGTATAACTCCTGAGGCAATAAAGAATTATATTAAACTCTTATTGAGGATTATGCCATGCATTAGTAAGGCCCAAGAGAAACATAAATAAAACGCTAACTTGAATAAAGAGCAAAAGCATGTGACAATGAAATCTATTTGAAAACCTTGATTATAAAATTTCATAAAATTGTACAATGTTGAATGTCCCTAGATCATACATACATGAGCATGAACAGACTAAGAAAGACACCACAAGGTGCACAAAATATAGCATCTCCTTCCTCATCTTATTTAATCAGACTATCATATGGAGTACTACATTTAAAATGACTCAAGGAATATCAATTCATCCCCATAATAAGAAGCAAGTCGTACATAAATGATTAAAATATATCACGAAAAGAGTACATACAAGATCCAACCATCATAAATTCGTCTCATTTCAAAAACATTTGTATCATAATGAAATTAAGACGCCCATGGCTTTTGTCCAGGACATATTCCATATCAGTTTCACTTTGCTTCATTACAAGACTTCATATTAATGTGGAACGCAACTCACAATATCTAGTTATATGCATTGACAGATTA